ATATATATGTAAAAGCTATATAGAAATAAGAAACTTTTATCTTGGTCTCAGGCTCTCAGCAAGCAACCAAATACTAATTGATGCAGATTGTTCTTTTCTTTTTTTTTTCAAAAAGAAATAAATGGAGAGAAAATTGGTAGGAAGATGAAGAGCAGAACATGGAGAGAAGTATATCACTTCAACTCAAATTTTCTTATTAACAGACTCTCTTATATATGTTGTATATATAATTTTGATGATTACAAAATACATTTGAGTGACTAATTGGTTCATTTAAGTATGAGATTGCAAAGTAAGTAAACTAGGATTGCACTAAAAATGGACCAAAAAGACTGGATTGTGAAAAAAGCCGACTTAAAGAAATTTGCAGCCGGCTTTGGAAGGTAAAAGTGCAGAGAGTTGGCTCTAAGATCTACAACCGGCTATACAGGAGAAAAATTTAAGTGCACAGTTTGGCACGCGAGGAAAACGGACGCAAAGCTGGTTTTAACTTTGCAACCGACTGTGAGGGCGCATTAAATGTACAACGGTTAAGTTATTTGAAGATTTCTTTAATATTTTAAAGTTTGATTTCCAAAGCCGACTTTATATTTTGCAACCGACTCTCGAGGAAAATCATTTGTACAAGAAACCCGCAAGGAAGGCTTTACATCTTGCAGCGGACTCTTCGAGAAAAACAGAATGTGCAGGAAATAGAAGTCTAAGCCGAGTGTGCAGAGCCAACTCTATACTTTAAGCCAACTATGTTGACAATTCTACAATTCAAAATTACACGACCTGAAAAGCATTAAATGACCCCTAATGGCTAATAACGGCTATTTTCAACCATGGGATTATAAATATGGTTGGTAGAAAATCTAGAACAAGTTTAGAGAGTACTGTATTGAATATCTCTACCGACCAACTTGTGCTTTAACTTGAGAATTTAATATTTAAGTGATTTTTGCTTGTAATCCTCTTCTTGTGCTACTTGTGAGTGATCTTGGGGGTGTGATTATTCCTTCAAGAGTGATTTATAGAGAGGATTGTTTGGGTTTATCTTGTAAAGGGGTGAGATTTGAGAGAAATACTCATCTTCTTGTAAAAGGATTGAGTGGCTCCTTTAAACCACCCTTGTTCTTGATACTGGAGAGTGTGGAGGAAATCTTTGGTGAGTGAAGTCAAGGTAGAGAACTAGACTCCAAGTGGTTGGACCAAACCTCTATAAAATCATTGAGCAAGCTCTTTCTCCTTGCTCTCTTTAATTCTTTATTTTGTGGTTGCAAAGAGGAGAAAATTTTTGAACTCCAATTCACCCTCCCTCTTAGAGTGCATTGAGCCAACAATATATAGGAGAATACAAACTTTAAAACAATTCAAATTCAAACAACTATTATACATTAAAAAACAACAAAAGCACATTTGAAATTTAATCAAGTAACAACCACTTTTCCCACATGCTTGTTGTTACTCTGCAGTCACTTTGCAGCCTTTCATTTCAGATGCATTTGCATTTCATTTGCTGTTCATTGCAGCTTCATCTTCATCAACATTTGCTGCTTAGTTTGTTGCACATTTTTGTTGTCATTTGACAACATCATTTTCATCAAATTTACAGCTAAATTGCTGCCATATTTGTTGTCAAATTACAACTTCATTTGCTGACAATTTCTAGCCTCATTGCTGCCATTTCATGGCAATTTCATTTCATCATTTCTGCAAATTTGAATGCCACATTTCTAACAATAATTCCAACACTCCTTCGTGGCATCAAAGTTGCAAAATAAAAAACAAAAGTATATTTATGCCTAAGCACCTGGGATCAACCCTTTGTTGTCCATCTTATGCTTGGTTTTTCACCTTTTTTTTTTCATCACAACCATGTACCATCCTTCTCAAACAACCTCAACTCCTCCTTCATTACAACTTTCCTTCTTTGGATTTTGCTGCCTCAAAAAATTTTGGAGGTCTTTGCAACTAAGTTGCATTATTTGAGTAAACAAAAACCAAGGATTTTGGTACCTCAAAGTGTTGCACTGCTTCATCATCTTCTACAGCTTCCTTGGGCTAAAGATTTGGCTACTCAGTCATGAAAATGACTTGATGCAATGTTGAGTACTCTCTTGGTCCCAATCTGCATATTCACAAGCCATCCTTGCCTTTTTGGACTAATGTTGTAGCATAAAACACCACCCATACCAGCAACGTAAAACATCATCAAACCAGCATCTTTTGCATGATAAATCTTTTGCCTCAAGAAGATTGAAGGACATCAAGTTAACCTTCAACTTCATAGCTTCACATACTTTCTTCTGCCTTAATAAATTGGTTGCATCAGTTTGTCAACCACTTTCAAAGATTGAAGGACCTAAAGTTAACCTTCATCATCACAGCATCTTTGCTGCATTTTTTTGTTAAAGGAGTTTGCTGTGATCAAAAATAGGGTATTTTGAAAGAAAAAACTTGCTAAAAACTATTTGGGTTTGGTCGGAGTTTGTGGTGGTCTATTTCCCTTAAGTCTCTCTCACACAAGCCCTCAAAGATCATGAAAGGCTCTGATACCATGTTCATTTTTTTTTTCACAAAGAAATAAATGGAGAGAAAATCGATAGGAAGATGAAGAGCAGAACATGGAGAAAAGAATATCACTTCAACTCAAATTTTCTCATTAACAAACTCTCCTATATATAGGAGAATATAAACTTTAAAACAATTCAAATTCAAACAACAATTATACATTAAAAAACAATAAAAATACATTTGAAATTTGAACATGTAATAGCCACTTTTCTCGAATGCTTGCTGTTACTCTGCAGCCACTTTGCAGCCTTTCATTACAGATGCATTTGCATTTCATTTGCTGTTCATTGTAGCTTCATCTTCATCTTCATCAACATTTGTTGCTTAGCTTGCTGCACATTTTTGCTGTCATTTGACAGCTTCATTTTCATCAGATTGGCAGCTAAATTGCTGTCATATTTGCTGTCAAATTGCAACTTCATTTACTGTCAATTTCCAACCTCATTGCTACCATTTCATGGCAGTTTCATTTCATCATTTCTGCAGATTTGAATGCCACATTTCTAACAATAATTCCAACACAGATAACAAAG